GTTTTTTTCTCAAACTGAGCCACAAATCTCCACTTCAGTAGTACGTACATGCACCACACCTCCAGTTTTATTCCCATCTTTATTCTGGAGGTTTTCACTGAGGGCTTTGTTCATATACCGTTGGTTGGTCTGGTTTATAAAACGTTTTATTCCTAAAAAATGGCAAAAATGCATTTTTCTCTGGCTGTTGACACTATTTTCTTATTTATGAAGTGATATAAACAGATAAGCAGAATCACCTCTGTAAAGACAGATAGATAGGTAGAAGCAAGAACTCTGGAGCTGCTTTTATCCAATGTTTAGATTTATGTCTGGAAATTGGGTTGTTTTTGGATATATAATGACAAATTTGCATATTGACACAGAACATTTCAGGAAAAAAAGATCACTGCTCTATAAATGGCTCCATGTATATATTTCATGCACATACTTGTTGGTTAATAAATTCCCCATATCCACCTGTTGTGTTTCCCCTTCAGGTAAACACTCTGGAAAGGAAAGAGCAGATGATGCTCTTGATGACGCTTCAAACTGATGCATTTAGCGCTCGTTGCTGATTTTAAAAGGGCGATCTCTGACAGTATCCAGATGCTGGCTGTGAGCACAGCTGCAGCTCCTCAATCTGTCTGCGACGCGTGAAGCCGTGGCTGAATATGGGTATTATTCAGACTTTGGCTGCTGCTGTAGTTCGGTCTGTGGTGCTGTGAGTGTGTCACGGTGTTACTGTTTAATCCAGTTGTGCTTCGATGACAGATGTGCTACCGAAACTTGAAGAATACATTATTTTCAACACAATGCATAACCTGCAAAACCAACACAGCTGCATGTAGTCCGCGTTGCAACCATTAAAAACGAACAGCCGGATTTGTAACAGCCGAAGCAAAGCCTTGACTGCAGCCACAGTGACAGCAGTGTCAACCCAAGTCCACAGTCACAGGAACATATGCAGTCCCTCTTGGCAGCGGTCAGTGAGGGAGCTGCTGAACCAGCTCCTCCACTTGTCTTTAAGTTTCAACGGTACAGACTGGTGACTGAGCAGCAACATTATAAGTAAATATCAACCCTCACTGTTGGTAACGCCGTGTTTTCTCATTATGTACCGTCTCAACCAGCGGTGGTCTACTATAATACATAATACTGCATCATAATAAAGTTCCGCCTTTCTCTCTGTGTGAAGTAACACAGTTTCCGCAGTTACCTCTCAGGGTTTCTGTACAATTCTTCTTTCATTGTCACTGGTCCTGTCTTCTGTGAGAAGATTTGAGACCTAAAAGGATTAGGCGTTGCTCAGGGTTTAGTACGACGAAGTATATTTTTGGTAATCTTAAACCAAGCACAAATAAGAGGAGCTTTACACCAGATTAGCTACCGGTCCGTCCCTCAGCAAATACACAGAAATGCCAAAAAAATACNATTTGCATATTGACACAGAACATTTCAGGAAAAAAAGATCACTGCTCTATAAATGGCTCCATGTATATATTTCATGCACATACTTGTTGGTTAATAAATTCCCCATATCCACCTGTTGTGTTTCCCCTTCAGGTAAACACTCTGGAAAGGAAAGAGCAGATGATGCTCTTGATGACGCTTCAAACTGATGCATTTATCGCTGGTTGCTGATTTTAAAAGGGCGATCTCTGACAGTATCCAGATGCTGGCTGTGAGCACAGCTGCAGCTCCTCAATCTGTCTGCGATGCGTGAAGCCGTGGCTGAATATGGGTATTATTCAGACTTTGGCTGCTGCTGTAGTTCGGTCTGTGGTGCTGTGAGTGTGTCACGGTGTTACTGTTTAATCCAGTTGTGCTTCGATGACAGATGTGCTACCGAAACTTGAAGAATACATTATTTTCAACACAATGCATAACCTGCAAAACCAACACAGCTGCATGTAGTCCGCGTTGCAACCATTAAAAACGAACAGCCGGATTTGTAACAGCCGAAGCAAAGCCTTGACTGCAGCCACAGTGACAGCAGTGTCAACCCAAGTCCACAGTCACAGGAACATATGCAGTCCCTCTTGGCAGCGGTCAGTGAGGGAGCTGCTGAACCAGCTCCTCCACTTGTCTTTAAGTTTCAACGGTACAGACTGGTGACTGAGCAGCAACATTATAAGTAAATATCAACCCTCACTGTTGGTAACGCCGTGTTTTCTCATTATGTACCGTCTCAACCAGCGGTGGTCTACTATAATACATAATACTGCATCATAATAAAGTTCCGCCTTTCTCTCTGTGTGAAGTAACACAGTTTCCGCAGTTACCTCTCAGGGTTTCTGTACAATTCTTCTTTCATTGTCACTGGTACTGTCTTCTGTGAGAAGATTTGAGACCTAAAAGGATTAGGCGTTGCTCAGGGTTTAGTACGACGAAGTATATTTTTGGTAATCTTAAACCAAGCACAAATAAGAGGAGCTTTACACCAGATTAGCTACCGGTCCGTCCCTCAGCAAATACACAGAAATGCCAAAAAAATACAGCAGATGCGGTGAACAAAGTGCAGTGAAGCCCACATGGAAGTCTCAGTCATATAAATAAAACTACAAAATCTGGTAAAGATGTCAACATGTCTCGTGTGTATGTCTGAGAATAAAATAAAAAATTCAGTTATTTATCATTTCAAATAAATGCTGACGTGACATGAAATGGCTACTTCAAATATTTTCATGACATGATGAGGAAATAAAACCTGTCTTCACGGGCCGTGAATGAAAAGAGATTTCGCTCAGAACATTTGAACAGCGCAAGAGCAGTTCTGTGAGTTCGCTTATGCACCAGGTGGACATCTGTTTAACATGCAGCTTAAATATGAAATCAAAGACTTTTTTTATCCATCTTTTGGTGTTGGACTGTTTTTCGAATCTAACATGTCTGAGACGCACATGATGAGAAAACCTGGCTGCACTCGCTTCAATCTCCAGCTGTAAGTGAATTCTGTATTAAGCTCAGATCATTTCAATCTACTTTGGTAGTTTTATGAATGTGCTTGAGCTGCAGCGATTGACAGAGGGGTTGGGAAGAGAACAGGGCAGGGACCTTGTTTGCACATTCAGGAAGCAGAGATGTAAAGTTACATCTAAGCCATGTTAAGGTGGGAAAAAAAAAACTTCTAGATTGGAGACTGGACACTAATAAAAAAGAACATTGTCAGGTACAACTTTCTTCACTGTTTTGTGACTACTTCACAAGGAGGGGATGGGAGAGGCCGATAGGATGAAACTTGACTAGCGTAGCGACTGGTATCACCAGCGCTTGGAGTGGCAGGCATGCTGCTCATGTGAGCACCTGGGGACGGAGCTTGGGTCGGGACATGTTGGGGATATCCTGGGCCAGCTGGCTGGTTGGGTCTTAAAGGAAAGACAAGTGGCCTGTGATAGTTGGGCAGCGCCCAGAGTTTCGGGTCACCATTAACAGGTTTCTGTACCTTGGGAGCACTCGGTGTGCGTTGCGGATTCGAGACTGCATTCTGCCATTTCACAAGTAAAGGGTTGTTGTTGCGTCTCCGTACAGGTGCGGTTGGCTGGTAACTTGAAGCCTGCGAGTTGCTCTGATCGGCGGCTGGAGGCGTCAAAACGTCATCGTCACCATCCGTCAGGTTATTTGAATCTTCTGTGACTCGATACGCATTTTTTAGATGGCAAACCAACGCTGCCACTGAACAGCAAAAAAATCCAGGAAACCCACAAAAGAAGTCCAAGAGCCCTGGCTGTTAGCTGAGAAGCAGCACCCCACACCTCTCAGTCACAGACACTTCTCAGTTTTGTGACTACAGCTTCTTCTTCACCATCTCTCTTTTGAGCTAATATGACAAAATCATTCCCATAACTCCACAACATCCACACAGATGGACTAATATACACAGTGGGTGACTGAAGTCCTAAAATGGAGACTTTGGTGATCCTCTCACGGTTCAGGCTCTTGCTAATGATATTTCAATATTTGCTCTAACACAAATGGACAAGTCTGTCCGGTATGATTTCATCCACTTTGAGTAATAACAGATTGTTTATATCTGGGACAGCTTAGTGCAAAGTGCTGACTTACTGCCTAGAAGAGGCCTTTGTGTGAGTCAAGAAACGCTGCTGCTTTACCCTAATTAACCTTCCGGCTTGGTTTTTCCAGACCTGCTATGACACGGTTGGCTCCGGCCCAAAGCTGTGTGAAACAGTTGCAAGTTGGTACTTTTCAAGAGGGCAGAGACGAAGCTGCTCGTGAGAATAAACCATCCCAGTCAAAGGTCAGACCTGTTGGAGGCTCGCTTAATTGGGTTCTCTCTCCGAGATGGCGAGGACGGGTTACAAGCTTTCGGCGATAAACAGAGACTCAGGATGATATTACAAGTATGAGAGGGGAAGGGGAGAGAGACTAATTTAAATTCACCCTCAGATGGGATGTAGTGTTTATGTAGTAATTCAATTGTGCTAAATGATGCCAGTAAATGAGTCCCAAATTGTCAAAGCAACTTTGAAAACTGTGCGGCTTTTACACTGAGCGCAAAGATAACATTTGCTCATGCACACAAAGATCTAAGTTTTGCACCACACTGCTTTTTGTCTCTGCATATCCCCTCTGTATCGCCTTTTTTTCCCTTTCCCCTTCTCTTGTCCGTTGTATTTCTCTCTAAGCAGCTGTTGGAAGGCGACCAAACGCTTGAACAATTACAGAGCTCGAGTCAGAAGTGAACAAATCTACTGCATTTTAACACAGTGCGTCCTTCAAGAGATGATGCATTACAATAATACTGGTTGTGTGTGGAGATTATTGAGCTTTTGGGGAAGCACATTGCGATCATAATGTAGACGTTTAATGATCGCACTGCATTAAAACTAACAAAGAGAGTTAAAGCGCTTTTCAGGGTCTTGTGCAAATCTCAAATGTGATGCTTACTGCAATTTTTTTTAGTATTTGTGTGGATGTTGATCTTGTTTTGTTTGTGCTTGTGTGTGTGTGTGTGTGAGTGTGTGTGTGTGTGTGTGTGTGTGTGTGACCATCGCACTCACTCGACTGTGTCCTCCCAGCTACACCAGCGTCTCTGATCCAGCTCCTGCATGTCCTGCCTGAATATGGCGAGGCAGATCTCCTCAATGGCGTTTTCATATTCGGGGCCGCACGCCAGCGCCGACACACACTGAGACGCTAGTGGGAGAAGAAAAAGAGAAAAAAAAAGGAGAAGAGGGGGATGTAGTTAGACCACATGTATAACTCAGAAGAGATCTAAAATCTGTTTTAAAGAATGTAAACCAGTGAGCAGGGTGAGAGCACAGGGGAACACTTAAGAGTAAAAGTGTGCTGCTGCTGCTATCTTTTCTCTTTAGATCACAGCAAGCTAACCCATTTCCTCATCTGTTGGACACGACGGGGAAATGCACGGTGGCCGACGGGGGCGAATGATGTGCATGTACACAAATTAGCTGCATATACATGAATGCATTGCATAAACAGCAACACGCTGCATAAAGAAAACGCTGCATATACAGACGCGCTACATTAATGAACACACATTTACCGCCTTCTGCTCGCTTCGTCTGTATGGTCACTGCCGACTGTCAATCAAGCCAGCCACGCCCCTTGCCCCGCAAAATGTTGATGGTTTTTTAAAAGTTCAGTATTGATTTATTTTCAGATTGGTCACCTGATCTCTGGATTTGACCATGAAAACTAATAAGAAAAAAATCCTGAGCTGTAGGAATGCAGTATTTCATGATCCGTGATCACTTCTTTTCCAATTCAAGTCTATGGGAGCCAGGGCTTTATGGAGCCAGCAGCTGGCGGACGTAGGTTTTTGACACTTCCGGGTTGGCTTCATTTTTCAGGGCCGGTTGCTACGTCCATCTTTTATACAGTCTATGCTAAAGATTTAAAAACTGCCCCTAGAGGCCATTTGTGTATATGCAGCTCGTTTGTGTATGTGCACATCATTTACACCCGTCGGCCACCATAGAAACGCCATCTGCCAGCACAGTGTTATCTACATCATTCAGAAGTGACACGGCGTACAGAACAAGAACATTTCCAGCGAGTTCCCGCTTGATATCTTTTATTTTTTTTTAAAGATTAAGACGAGAACTCTTTGGATGTGGAAGTGGACGCTTTGACACATTAACTGTGGGACTGCGTGTGCTGGCAAAAAGACGAGAGGAACAAAAGACGTAACACGGCTAAAAACGGATAAAACCATAATGAGGCTGATCCCTGTGAAACTGTTAAATTGCTGCGGTTAAAGCAATTTATGATCTGATAGAACAGATAATGCATTATAATCCTCTTAAAAGAATCATTTTCACATTAATGGAAATGTGCCTAATCTGCTCTCTTACTGAGAGTTACAGGAGAGGAGCATTTTCATATATGTGAGCAAGACGTGAAGCTATAAACAGCAGCTCATTAGCTTCATTTAACATAAACACTCAGGGCAGCCAGGGCACAGCGATCTATCACAGTTTCCTCACAGTGGTGGCCTGCTGGCAACAAACCTTCCATTTGCTTTTAAAATAGCTCTGTATTAGTGTCAGTAGCCTCGAGTGTCCATTTATTATTCTTATGAGTGGTGGTATTAAAAGGCTGGTGCATTTGTATGCGTGTCGATAGGGTGGGGGTGGTGGAGGAGCTGCAGGCTGTTTGTGGTAAAAAAAAAAAAAAGTCCAGAACCTTTTTTTTGTTTGTTCCAGTCTAACATTGCTGCAGTAATTACTTATTCTCAAAGCCTTTTGTCACATTTTGTTCCTTGTTTCGTATCCTCACTCCCCCATTTTTTGTCTCAGTCTGTTCTTCTTCATACATCTCCATTCAGCCATCTTTCTTTCTAAGCTTTTCTCTTAATCTCTCCTTTCTGTTTTTTTTCCTCTTTGCAGAGTTTGTTAAGAAGACCACATTGTTGTCTTTGAAAATGATCTTGATTCACTGATATCAGAAAAAAAAAATGTGTGCGGATTACCACATTAGACCATAAGTCAACGTTTGTGGTACTTCAGGATCTGTGCTTCAGCATATTACTTTTGGAATAACATAATGGAAACTGTATTAAAGCACCAGGTCTCAACTTTGAATAGCTGAGACCTACAACGGCATTCAGAGAACTGGGTGTGAGATATAACGCTTTTGAAGACCGGCGCAGGTGAATCAAGTTTTGTAAACAAGTTCATATGATGTTTGTTTTTTACACACTGGTAGACATTCAAAAAACAAGCAGTCAGCACCATAGTTGAGTATTTCTGCCTTGAAAGTTCAACAGACCGATGATTAGAAACACAGATTCAGGCTTATGGGGTTTCACATGTACCAAACCTAAACCTGTCAACTCTTCTTTATCAATGTTCTTCTTTAGAAACCAGCTCTAACATGTCCTACTGATTTACTTTAATATTCCAACTTGCCATTGTGTAGTGCAGTTTTACAATGTCTGGGCAGAGCTGATAGTGAGCTGGTGTGCTCGGGAAGGACTTCATAGAGTTGCATATTCTAGAGCAGGGGCGTCGAACTCCGGTCCTCGAGGGCCGCAGTCCTGCATGTTTTAGATGTTTCCTTCTTCCAACACACCTGATTCAAATGATCAGGATCGTTATCAGGCTTCTGCAGAGCTTGATGATGAGCT